GTCTACTCCCACATCCTTCCCATCACAGCCCGTCTACTCCCACATCCTTCCCACCACAGCCCGTCTACTCCCACATCCTTCCCGTCACAGCCTGTCCACTCCTTCATCCTTCCCATCCCAGCCTGTCTACTCCCTCATCCTTCCCATCCCAGCCTGTCTACTCCCTCATCCTTCCCATCACAGCCTATCCACTTCCTCATCCTTCCCATCCCAGCCTGTCTACTCCTTCTCACAGCCTGTCCACTCCCTCATCCTTCCCATTGCAGCTTGTCCACTCCCTCATCCTTCCCATCCCAGCCTGGGGGCTTCTCTCTTCTCTCCCAGACCGGGTTAGGGCCTACTCAGTGTGCCCACAGCCCTGTCCTCCCCCACCCCATCACTGCACTATGGTGGTCCTCTTGTGGGTCTTCCCCTGGGCAGAGACTAGGTCAGTCTGAGTCACTGATGTATCCCTAGTGCCCCTCAGAGTCTGGCAATAGTGCACTCTGAAAAACACTCAATGCATGAAAACACCCTGGCTTTACTGAATATGAGCCTCCAATTGGACAGAATCAATAGTTCAGTTCAGAGCAGCCAGCAGGCGGGGTCCGGGGTCCAGCACCAGGGGGAGGCTGGGGCCTCCGAGTCCAGGGAGCTGGTTAGTTCTAACACTTGGGCCCCTTTCAGGGGGTCCTTTTTGAGTGGAGTAGCTCAAGTTTTAGGTAAACTACAAACAGGTGGACAGACTGTGGTGGAGGTTGGAGTTGCTGAGGCCAAAATATTTGGGTGGTCCCCACTCTGCAGTCTCCATGAGGCAAGAACATCTGGGCGGCCCCCACCCTGCCATCGACACACAAGCAGGACATCCAGGCATCCCTGGCTCTACAGTCTCCACAGACCTCTAGGACTCGGCTCACACGGGTTCCCAGGACCCAGCACAGTGCCCCACCCAGGGTGGCTGCTCAACAATGGTCGGCAGAATGAGTCAAGGAAGAAAAGAACGAGTTCACGGACAGAGAAATCCTTTCTTGGAAAACTGGTAATCTAGACCCAGCTGTGCATCTGGAGACCTTTGCATTTAAACTGGAAAAAGAAAACCTCTCCTTTGATATATTTAAAGGTAATTTCCCACTTCCCGTGTTTACTCTCCTATGTGAGTACGTGGGAACATTGACCAGGATATTCACTGAAATGCCCGTCAGGATGAGAAGGGTCCGTGTGATGGAGACCTACCACCCGGCAGTGAGAATGAACCGCGCCCATGGAGGCAACAAAGATGAGGCTGAACAACACGGAGAGAAGAAAGAGAATTGCAGAGCGACTCCACTCGTGTTAATGTGTAAAACCCACTAAACAACGGAGGAAGAGAAGAAATCAAGCCGGATCTTCTTTAGAAAGATCTGAAGCCAATATCCTAAAATGTTATCATTTACTGAGTGTTAAATGCTGTCACTATTAAACATATTTGTTATATTACTCTCTGCAGTTTGCTGGATATTTGAAAGTTCCATAATTTTTTGAAGAAACAATTTTCTTGATTTATCAGAAATAATTTAAAAAGGAAGTGGTCACTTCACTCAGCATTTGCTATAGAACCCAGCAGAGTTATTTTGTTATTTTATTTAGATAGTGCAAAAATCATACTTGGGAGCAAGGATTCTTCTTTGAATTAAATTCATCCGTTTTCCTAACTCCCCAGTTCAGCCTCCTTTGCATTGGGCTGCCCCCTAACCACTGCAAGTCCTTAGGGAGTACAGCAGTCTCCCCCACTGTGAATGCTCACCTCTCCCTTCTCCTCTGTTCTCCCCCTTGCTTCCTACTCAGCCTTCCTCAGACATCTGGGGGCCCCTATGTCCAGCTCCCAATCTTCATTCTTTCACTTAATGACAGTAAGCGAGACATCCACACACCAGAAGTAATGGTTGTCAAACTTTAAGATGCATCAGAATCACCTAGAGCCTGTGAAAACAGATTCCCAGACCCCATGCCCAGAGTATCTGATTCAGCGGGTCTGGGATGGAACCAGAGAATCTGCATTTCTAACAAGTTCTCAGAGGATGCTGGCACTGCCAGGAACGACAGTCTGAGAAGCACTTTTCTGGAGAATGTTGGACCATCACGTCGCTGCCTTGTTCTGTGCCGCACATGCCAATGAGAGCAAATGGCACATCTCCTGTGAACCTAGTCTGTCCCTTCCTGGTGCCCTCTGCCCCCAAATTTCATCATTACAACAATATCTGGCACCGATCTTTGTCTCAGTCCCTCTCAGCCTAGAACAGATCTAATCACATTTATTTCCACTTGGTCTGGACCAAGCCAACTCTTGCCCAGAAGAGAACATTCAAAATTAAATCAATGTTCTTGTGTGAGGAATGAGGAGGAGAATGGGAAGGAAGATGAAAAGAAATGATAAGAAATGAAAGAAGGAGAAAAGTAACGCTGCCAGAGAAAGGATTGAGAACTAAGGAGAAACTGGATGTTTTTCACTCCTGCTGATGCGAGGTGACCCCGGAGCTAGCAGATTTCCTGCTTCTCAGCCAGCAGAGAAAGAACAGAGGGGCCACATCTCATTCCTGTATGCAAATAATCATCTCTAACAACAACAGAAAAATCACCAGCATCAGAGAAGGATAATTTATGACTGGCAGGAATTCTCCCTTTTGAAAACTAACTCCTCAATACAGAGTTTGATTGTCACGATCTCTTGTGAGGCCTTCAGATGTCCTCAGGGCCTGTCCACACTGTCCTGGAGGCCCGCAGGCCCCGAGTGATTCCCCACAGCAATCTGGGCCCCCAGGGCCTCCTCTAGAGGAGCTGATGTCCAGACACCTGTGGAGGCAGGATGAGAAAGTGAGTAGACATTTTCCACTCTCAAGGGCGTGGGGCTTAAACACGTCCGTCCTTGAGTCAGGAAAAGAATTCGTGGCAAACAGGACAAGGGTGGGCATGGGGGGAGCCTTGGGCCTTCACAGATGTCAATGCTGGGAGAGGAGGGAGGAGCCGTCCACTCCGGGATTCCCAGCCCGGCAAGTGCATAGGAAGCACCTGGGCGCCCCTCCCACAGGCTCTTATGTAATTATGAGTGGCCCCTCGCCTTCCCTCAGGCCTGTCCCCCTCCCCCAGGACACAAGCAGAGGGGAGATAGAAAGCACCCCTCACCTCCCAGCGTTGACTTCTCTGTTTTCTGGACCCATGGGTAAGGGGTGGTCCTCTCGTTTCCCCCTCTGTGAAATGGGGATGACCTCTGCTTCCCAGGACTGTTCAGGGGTTCACAGGAGACATAGGAGAGGAGGCATTGTGTCAAATGTGAGGAAACATCCAAGCCCGGCACATCTGAAATTGGGGCAGCCCAGAAAACTGGGTGGTCTCTGTAAACTGTTGTCATTGCTATTTCCTTTCAGATACGAGGCATCCTTACTGCTTTCTCCCCTACCTTCTTTAAAACCTGCTAGCATGCAACTCACAGAGTTAGGAATCAAGGCGAATTAGTCTTCTCCTCTGCCAGCGAGGGTTCTGCCTTTTAACAGAGGACCAAATACCAAGCCAAAGAAATGACTCTCTAACAGAGGACTATTCAGCCACCTACTGACAGATCCCAGGAGGGAATGTTGTCCAGGGGGAAGACTTCCCAGGTTTTCAGAGCACCTCAGGCTGTCCCTGCCCATCCTACAGAGATGCTGGCCCCCAAGGCGGGGTGCTGGTTAGAATCACCCAGGAGGTGATATTGGTTTGCCTTTGGCAGCTTTCCCAGCCCCAATCAGGGCTCCACTCATCAGACCTCCCTTTCCTGTCTCTGGTGCCACATCATGTGGTCACTGCCCTGCCTAGTTGGTCCTACCGAGAGGGCAGGGTTTCACTGAGACCAGGTAGTACAGTGGTTAGCTTGGGCAATAGACAGGCTCTACCTCCATGGGCAAGTGCCAAAAGCCGTCTCTGCCTCTTTTTCCCCACCTAAGATATGAGGAGAAGGGCCCCTTGCCTTTTCGGATGGTCATCTACCCTCACCACCTGCAGTGCCTCAGTGGCATAGACATTACTCTAAGCACTTCACACGCTATTCATTGCTTATAGCAACCCGACAAAGTGGATACTACTGTCATCCTTGCTTCATGGGTAGGGAAACTGAGGCCTTGATGGGTTAGAGGTTATGAAGTGGAGGTGGGATTTGAACCCAGGAGTTACGCCTCCAGAGGCCCAGCTCCTTATTCTTCCCTGCCTCCCTCTGCAAGCCCCGTCAAGAACTTGGGATTTTTGGGGATTGCCTGTCCTCACAGCTGCCTCTCTCCTCCAGCCCACCCCGAATGAAGACAGCCTGCGGCCCGTTCGCTCCTAGCAGGAGCGTAGACAGCTCCCCCGCCCTCCTAGGGAGGCTTTTGGATCCTGACTCTGATGGTAGGAAGCAAAGAAAAGGAACCAAGGGGAGGAGGTGACAGCTAATTTTGGAGCAACAAGACCTTGGTTTGTCCTCAAATTGCTGATGTGGGGTCACTGCCAGGTGTCCCGGCAGACCTGTGTTGCAAGTCCCTTTCCCTCCTGGCCGCGGTGTCCTCCTTGGCAAACCAGGTGGCTCCGCCCGGTGTTCTCAAAGGCCCCACTCGCTCTAACACAGCTTCAGCAACCTGCTGGGGAGGGGAGAAGATGGGCACACAGAGGTGGTTTGAAAGACACGTCTAGCTGGTTATAGCAACTCCTCTCACCCCATCAGTTGGCAGGACTAAGGGACTGGAGAGCCCCAAGCGTCTCTGAATGAAGTAAATCAGCCCTTTTGTGTCTAAGGGCCCTTTCTCTCAGTAGATACACCTTCCAGATTAGAGCCCCTCTTCTCATAAAAAACGCCTGGATGATATCACCACGTATCTCAGCAAAGCCTCCTCGGGATCTTTAGTATCTCAGCAAAAGCTCTCGGGATGTTTTCAGAGAAAGACGAAATTCCCAAAGAATTCTGTCCCCAATTCTATATGTCAGGGGCATCAGCGTGGGAGAAAAAAATGGGTCACGGGTGAGCTGTACACTGAGAGAGGGAGGGCTGACTGCGGCCCAACCTCCCTTGTTGCTGGTCACGGCATCAGGCGAGCAGCTGGGAGGACAGTGTGAGGGCTGAGAGGCCCAGAGTTGGGGGTAACCCAGCTCCTTGAGCTCAATGAAGTAGGTGGGCTGACAGGTGACCAGGCCGCTCTGTAGAAAGGAACACCGGCCTGTCTTTAGAAGGAAGCTGTCAGGCTGCTCGGTGTAGACAGTCTACAAGTCCGTCATTTGTGAACCCCCTTACTTTTTTAATTAATTTTTTTCCTTATTAGTTCAGAGTGACAGAATGGCGTTCTTGGTTTCCAAAGTTTTTAAACATCCTATAAAATACTCTTTGTGAGGCCATGAGGGTTTTGTGGCTATTTTTAACTTTGCAAACCCAAGGATATTCTTTCAAGTAAACTTCTTATCCAAATAAAACATACACAGAGAAAAGTGCAAAAATGATAAGCAAAAGAGCTTGACGAATTTTCACGAAATAGACGAACGTGTGACATCACTGACAATCAAGAAACGAGACATTATAGGCACCCCGGCAGCCCCCCTTGTGCCTCCTTCTGGTCACATCCCCAAAATAGCTACCACCTGACTCCTATCCCCACTGATGAGCTTTGTCTGTTCTTGAACTTCACGTAAATGGAACCATTCAGTGGACGCTCTTGGTTGTCAGCCGTCTTTTGCTGAACATGACGATTTCAGTTCTGTTACTTTGTGTTGCATTAGATTGTTCAATTTCATTGCTTAAGTACACCACAATATATCTATCCATTCCACTGTTGATGGAAATTTGGGTTGTTTCCAGTCTTTGGTTACTATACCTAGATAGTCACAAGCATTTTTGTACATCTTCAGCGCACAGATGAATGTGATTCAGTTGGGTGGGTACCGAGGAGTGGAATTGCTGGGTCATAGGACATATAATGCTGTCAAAGAACTTTCCAAAGTGATTGCACCAATTTACACCCCTATCAGCCAGTGGATGGCAGCTGCAGTGGCCCCACATCCTCACTAGCAATTAATATTATTAGTCTGTTCATTTTTAGCCACTCTGGTGGGTGTGCAGCGGCATCTCTCTGTGATTTTAGTTCGCACTCCCCTGCTCACATATACTGGTCAATTGTATAACCTCTTTTGTGAAGGGCCTGTTCAAGTCTTTTGCCTATTTTTTCTATTGGGTTATTAAAGATTTATGAAAATTTTTAATATTTTCTGGATACAAGTCCTTCATCAGGTTTATGATTTGCAAATATCTTCTCCCACCCTATGGCTTGCATTTCACTCTCTTAATGGTGTCTTTTGATAAACAGAAGTTCTTAGTTTTAATGAATTCCAATTTATCAATCTTTTCCTTTGTGTTTAGTGCCTTTTGTATTATATTGGAGAACATTTTTTCACGTCCAAGATCATGAAATTATTCTCTTATCTCTTAGAAATTTTATTATTTTACCTTTCACATTTAGATCTACAATCTACCTGATTTGATTTTTGTGTCTGGTGTGAGGCAGGGTCAAGGTTCATTTTTTAAAATATGAATATCCAATTGACCCAGCAGAGTTTGTGAAAAAACCGTCCATCCATTCTGTCCTCACTGCACTGCAGTGTCCTTTTATCACAAATCAAATGACTGAATATGTGTGGTCTGTTTTCTATGACTCTCTTGCCTGTTCTATTGGTCTATTTGTCTATGCTTATACAAATCTCTCATTGTCTTGTTTACTAAAGCTTCAGAATAAGTCTTGACAAATCTTATTCAAGATTGTTTTGGTTCTTTAATTTTCCAAATAAATTATAGAATAAAGTTTATTCTAAAAATAAAATAAACAAAATTCTACTAGAATTTGTATTGAAATTGCGCTGGCTCTATAGATCAATTTGGAAAGAATTGACTTTAAAAGTACTGTCTTTCATTCCATAAATATTTGTTTAGGATTCTGTTAATTTCTCTCAATAACAATCATAGAGTTTTCAATTAAATTTCTTTAGATTTATTTCTCTGTATTTTTTAAAGACTTTTTTAGAGCAGGTTTAGGTTCACAGCAAACCAGAGAGGAAGGTACAGAGATTTCCCATATATCCCCTGCCCCGACACATGCAGAGCCTCCCCCATGATCAGCATCTCCCACCAGAGTGGTACATTTGTTACAACTGATGAACCGACATTGACACATCATAATCACTCAAAGTCCATAGTTTACATTAGGGTTCGCTGTCAGCGTTGTACATCTATGGGTTTGCACAAATGCATGATGACACGTATCCACCATTACAGTGCCATACAGAGTATTTTCACCACCGTAAATGTCCTCTGTGGCCCATGTACTCTCTGTATTTTTGGTACTACTGTAAATGATATTATTTACATTTTTTATTTTCCAATTATTTGTAACTATTTAATTAGTCCTCTTAAATTGATTAAACAACCCCTCTGCAGTGTGGTTGATGCTACTCATTTCTGAATCAAAGTTATCACTCATGGCAGAGAATTTTTTCAGTCCATTTTCTCTCTCTTATTCAGGCTGGGAGATTTCTATTGCTCATTCCTCAATTTCACTGATTCTGCCTTCTGTCATTTCCATTCTACTATTGAGCCCACCTAGTGAGTTTTTTATTTCTGTGATCGTGTTTTTTACTTCTATAATTTCCATTTGGTTATTTTTTATAGGTTCTATTTCTATTTTATTCCTATTTATTTCTATTTCTATTTCTTTGTTGAGATTTTTCTATTCTTCTGTTTGTTTCAAGAGAATTTGTAATTGCTTTCTGAAGTATGTTTATGATGGCTGCTTTAAAGTCTTAGTCAGATGCTTCCACCATCTGCTTTATCTCAGTGTTAGTGTCAGCTCGTTGTCTGTACTCATTTATTTTCCTGGTTCTTAGAATGAAGTGTATTGTTTGTGCGTGTGTGAGGAAGATTGGCCCTGAGCTAACATCTGTTGCCAATCTTCCTCTTCTTTGCTAAGGAAGACTGGCCCTGGGCTAACATCCGTGCCCATCTTCCTCCACTTTATATGTGGGATGCCTGCCACAGCATGGCTTGATAAGCGGTGTGTAGGTCCACACCTGGAATCCGAACCTGCAAACCCCAGGCCACCAAAATGGAGCATGCGAATTTAACCACTATGCCACTGGGCTGGCCTCAATGATGTGTATTTTTTTATTGTGTCTGGATATCGTGCCTTTTATGTTAGGAACCTCTGGGTCCTATTTGAATTTTCTTTTTTTTTTTTTAAGCAGGCTAGCACCCTGTTTAGGTTTAGCAAGCAGGCCCCGGCCTAGTTTAATGGGCTGTTGGTCCAATGACAATTTAATTTCAGAGCCTTTGTCATACTATTACAGTATCCTGGGGCTCCCATGGTCCTTCCTGCTGCTACCTGAGGGGGCTGAGGGAAATGCCTCAGGCCGGTCCTCCCGGTACCTCTAGATGCGGGAAGAGAACCTCAGATCCATGGAGACCAAGAGTGCTTCTTCCAAGGCTGGGCTGCTTCTTATGGTGTAATTCCCTTTGTTGGCACCACGCTATCACCCTAAGTGTCTGTCAGTGAGGGAGGAGAATCTCAGGCCCACCAGGAAGGGGCAAGAATGAATCTATGTTGGCTGTCTTCTGGTGCCAGGTTGGGCATCAGGAAGTGCCAGGCCTGATCACCTTCTCCTGTTGGATGCAGAGGTAGTAAGACACCTTACTGCCATGTTGTTCCTCCAGTCCCAGGATCCCTAACTAGTTCCCCTTTCTCTTTCCACCTTTTGCAGTTTCCATTTGTTTGCCTCTTGCTTTATTTCCAGAGTTTATCATTGTACCCAGCCAAGAAGAGAGATGAGACAAACAAGTTTATGCTATTTCGTCTGGACCAGAAGTCCTTTCAATAACTTTGGAATGAAAGAATTCATTGAATGAATCAGTGATGAGTTCATTTTGAATACAATTCATTGGCCTAAATATAGCCAGGCTATAAAAAGGAAATAAATCACAGACTCTTAGAATTGGTAGGATCTTAGACTCTAGTCCACCCTCCTTCACAAAGGAGACATTTTTTCATAGAGCACCCCAGTGTATGGTCAGCCCATCCCTTCAACCGTGCCATGGGATCATGAGAATTATCCAACTAGTGGCTTCCTTGTCGTGCTCTGGGCAGAAATAGTCAAAGAAGACTTCATGGATCCATCGTGGAGAGCTAGGGATAAAGAGACAGAGTTGCCTGTTTTAATTTCTGTAACTAGTATATTTCAGGACAATGCATGAACAGCCAGTAAAGATGAATGCAGATTACAGATGAAAAGAATACACGTGGAGAAGAGAGAAAGCAAAGCAAGTAACCTTTTAAACATACATTTTCACCACTTCTCAACTCAGAAAAGGAGGCAGGAACCTGCTGTCCAAGGCAGGAAATATTAGGAAATACCAGCTGAGAGACTGCCCACTTGGCACCCATGAGCCCCAGCTGGCCCTCTGACCCCACTCCCATTTTAAGTCCATGACGCACAGTCAACCTTTCCTTTTCTGCACCTGAAAGAATGACTTCAGTCCAGACTGCGTCCTTATTAGAAGTGATAGAGCTATTTTTAGACCTGAACACGTAGTTTGCCTCAGCCTAATCAGTGGATCCTTCAAGGAAATGGAGGGATGACGCTGAGTAACATCCCACCTGGTGTCCTATCAAAGGGAACCTTGTTTCTCAGTTTGTTAGTTTGGAGGCATGTGCCACTGCCAAGGATGACTCTCGGCTCCCCCACTGCCTGTCACAGACTGCACTCTGAGCCTCCCACAGCAGATTACTTCCACCTTGCCAGTGGATGTGAGCCCCTATGTCAAGCTATTCCTGCCCTCACCAGCTTACTTTCTCTGGAAAGCATGAGAACACAGCCAGATCTGGGAGTCCAAATCTGGATTCTGTTGCTTACAAGCTGTGTCTTTGCGCAAATTACCTCTTGGGGCCTTAGTTTCCTAATCTACATGAATGAGACTAACTCACGGTTACGTGGACTAAGTAAAAGGTAAAAAGCCACCCATGGTGCTGACAGTAGGAACTGCTCAATAAATTCTAGGATTATTATTAATATTATATTCGCAGAGTGCTCAAAGCACTTTTGTGTGTTGTTTCATCGGTCTTAACAAGAATCCTATAAGAGAGGGGTTATTGTCCCCACTTTATAAATGAATCATTGAGGCTCAGAAGGGTTGGGTGAGTTGACAAGTCACAGGACCACTGAATAGAAGAATTCAGGTCTCTTGGCTCCAGTGACAGTGCCTGGGGACAGCATAGCAGATAGCACATACAGCAGCAGTACCTGCGGCAACTACAGTGATCAATGGTCTATACACTTGCTCTGATTTAATATCACAACCACTCTAGGCTCTGGATTCTATCATAAATCCCATTTCAGATGAGGGGACCAAAGTTCAGAGAGATCAAGGAAGGTGCCCAGGGGCAGCCAGCTGGGCATGGCAGAGCTGAAGCGTCCACCTGGTCTACCACGCCCAGGCTATGCTCTCAGCCCCTGTGTTGTTGTCTATGCAGCAAACCCCTAAGAACAGCTGGAAGTACTTGCCTGTCAATGCAACCAGTGGAAGGAAGACAACCTATTTTTCATAGGGTCCTTGGGATTTTCCATGTAGACAATCATGTTGCCTGCAACAAGAGAGAGTTTTATTTCTTCTTTTTCAATCTTTATGACTTTTACTTCTGTTTCCTGCCTTAGTACAGTGGCTAGAACTTGTAGTACTGCATTGAATAAGAATGGCGAAAGCAGACATCTTTACTTTGTTGCGGATCTTAGAGGGAACACATTCAGTCTTTCACAACTAAATACAACGTTTGATGCAGGATTTAGTAGATGTTTTTCACGAGGTTGGAGCAGTTCCCCTCTATTCCTAGTTTTTTCCTATAGAGAGGTTTTTTTCCATCATTAATGGGTGTTGAGTTTTGTCAAATGATTTTTCTGCATCAGTTGATATGATCATAAGGTTTTTCTTCTTTAGCTTGTCAATATGGTAGATTATATTGGTTGATTTTCAAATATTGAATCAGTCTTGCATACTTGGCATAAATCCTTCTTGGCTGTGGTGTCTTATTCCTTTTAAACATTGTTGGATTGGATTAGTTAAATTTGGTTGATAATTTTTGCATCTAAGTTCATGAGAGATATTGGTCTTTAGTTTATTTGTTTTTGGACTGTCTTTAATTGGTTTTAGTATCAGAGTAATGATGGCCTCATATATAGCACTGGGAAGTGGTTTATCCTCTTCTATTTTCTGGACGAGGTTGTGTAGAATTGGCATTAATTATTCTTTGAGTGGTAAAATTTTCCAGTGAAATTATCTGGGCCTAAAGATTTCTTTTTGGGGAGCATTTTAATTACAAACTCAATTTCTTCAATAGTTATAGAACTGAATAAATCATCTATTTTATCTTGGCTGAGTTTTGGTAGTTTGTGGTTTTTGAGGAAGTGGCCCATTTCTTCCAAGTTGTTGAATTTATGAGTATAAAGCTGCTTGTAGTATTTTCTTATCTTTTTTCAATGGCTAGAGAATTTATTGTGGTATCTTCTGTTTCATTCCTGATACTGGTGATTTGTGACTTCTTTTTATCTTTGCCAATCTTGCTAGAGGTTATTAATTTTATTTATTTTTTTTAAAGAACTCTCTGTTTCAATTATTTTTTCCTATTGTTTTCCAGCTTTCAATTTTATTGATTTCTTCTCTTTATTATTTCCTTTCTGCTGTTTGCTTCGAATTTATTTTGTTCTTCTATTTTTAATTTCTTGAAGTAAGAACTTAGATTAATGATTTGAGGTATTTCCTCTTTTCTAATGTAAGTATTTAGTGCCATAAATTTCCCTTTCAGCCTTGCTTTAGCGTCATCTCACAATTTTAATATGTTTATTTTAATTCAGTTCTTTGTGTTTTTAAAACTTCCTTTGAGATCAATTCTTTGACTCATGAATTATTTAGGAGTTTATTTTTTAGTTCTCAAGTGTTTGGAGATCTCCCTGTTGACTTTTTGTTTTGATTTCTAGTTTGATTCCATTATGGTCAGACAACCTACTCTGTGTGATTTCAATTCTTTCAAATGTGCTAAATTTTATAACCTAGGATGTGGTTTATCTTGGTGAATGTTCCATGGTCCTTTGAAAAAAAGGTATATTCTGCTATTGTTGGACAGAGCATTCTATAAATGTCATTTAGATCCTTTCAGTTGATGGTGTTGTTGAGTTCTATATTCTTGCTGATTTTCTTTCTAGCAGTCCTAGA